CCGGTCATCCCGTCAGCGCAAGCCACCTGTCTTGTGTTCGTGTGTCACGGTAACCGGTGCGAGCTCCTGAGTCAATACTCTCCAAGGTCTAAACAACAGTCTTACCTACGCTATCCCGACTCCTCGTCTTTCTTCCCTCAAAATCATGCAGGGCCGCGCTAGTTTCCTCAGTGGCTTGTCATCATGGGTGTTTCTTTTGCTTGTCGCTTGCCCATACGCTCTATCCCCCGACTTTGCCGCATGTCGATGTCACTGTCCAGTTTGGGGTCCAAGTCAGCCTGTCACAGGCAAAACAGCGGTCTCACATCATCATTCCTGACCCGATTCCAACTCTCCCCTCATCTTTGTTGATGCTCAACCTCGGGAGTCCACAGCGAGCTCTCCAACCTTCTTGTCTGCACTATCCCACTTTGCGGGCATCATCAAGTGTTCACCCACACATCCCTGTCACTCCCATCGGATGAACCCGTACATCGTTGACACGTGGAATCGCCGCTCTCAACTCGATCCGGCAACCTTCTTCGTCAACCTTCTCCATCCCTCTCCACTCCTCTGACGAACCCTAAACCGCGAAGTGGTGAATGCCTCCCTGGCAGTAACGATGGCAGCGCGCGGCGGCAGTGCACCCAACGTGGACCACGTGGCCTTGCCACACCAGTCAACTCAACCGGGGCCCGTCGGTGCCCAGGGCCCGGGGAACGAAATTTTCCCTTGGCACCTGTGCGTGTCCTGGCGGCCAAACCTTGCTGGTCGCGGGTCGCTAAGCGCTAGCGCTGTTCCAATTCCTTCCACCGCTCTTGATGTTTCTATTGGCTTGCCAGAGAGAAGTTACCCCACTGGTGGCCCCAGGATGGAAAGGGTTGTGTGTGCGCGTGTGTGTGTGTGGTAATAAAAACAGAAGGGATGACTTCAGAAAAGTGTCATTTTTATTTTATTTTTTATTTTTTTTTATTTTTTTTTTAAATGGAAACAAGGCTCCAATCTATTCCTGGGGAGCAGCACATGCTGGGAACCGGGCCCAGCGTCCCATATGGAAATTTACAAAGAAACACATCCAACAATTCAGCAAGGACTGGCTAGGGGGGACCCAAGGGAAGCCCATTGCCAATATTCGATGGGAGGGGGAAGGGGAAGGAGTAGGGGGGGGGGGAATTGTGGGACAAAGTGGCAGGAACTACCAGCTTCTCTTTCAAGAATGGACAGATATCCCTCAGCACATTCCTTGGTGCCCTGCTTCGGACTTCCCCGACCTCTTTCCAGCACCAGCTCTRGCTATAGTAGGGGAGCAGTGGTATGGAGGAGGGGATCCTTAGCAGAAGGAAGGGCCTTCTCATAAGACCCTGTCCATACTTAACAAAAGCAGTCAGCATTTGCAGTCAGCAGGCTGGGGCTGGAGCAAGCAGCCGGTCAGTATCAGTCCCTATTGTTCCTATCTGGCGCCCTCCCTCTGAGGGTGAAGAGATAC